GACCTGTTTCTTGTCATTTAGGTGACATTAGTCGGCACAATAACCAGCCAACACGATTCTAGTTCTAAGTCACTCTTCTTTTAAACCTCCAACATTTGCCAGAATTCTGGTATCAAGCCTGCTTATTATGGTAATGTCACTCTGCGTACTGTATCTACTACCCCGTTTGAGTCTGATCCATACTTGTATTGTGGACACCCCTTCATTTGCACTATTGGTTTTGTAAGTAAAACCGTCCAAATTTCTGGAGCAGTTTAACCTAACGGAAGTCACTGAGCTGATCTGTCGGTGGTCATTACCGAAAATCATTTAGAGTTAGTCATCCAAGCCTAGCGAACGATCCCCCGCCTACACATAAAAATGGACTAGTTTCCTCTTTTGAAATTTGAACTTTTGAATGATTTGCAGTGGAGTACCGAAATATCGTAAATAACTTAATTTGGGACTGATTAATTCGGGATAAATCGTTGAATATCATTTTCGTAGTACAAGAAAAAATTCTACTCTGTTTGTTTAAGGCAACTGAGAGACTGTAAGACAATTTGAAAATATTACATTCACCATATCCATGATGATATTTAGACCGGGTGTTTGACTGGAGCCATTTTTGTGCTAAAACATTTTCATAGGCTGTCGCTGACAAAAGTCTCTCATCGGCTATTAACCCTACAAGTGAATGTTTAGAGTACATCACTATTCTCATGTCATATATATATATATATGTACATGAAAAAAGTCCTTTGTAGTGTTATGTCATTATTCAGTATTGCCATAGCCTTTCACAAGATAGAATTTGTTTCTGTCTACTTTCTGAAAACCTCTAAATCCGTCTGGATTATAGGTGAAATCCTTAAACGTAAACTGTAACGAACAACACTGCCAAACACTGCACACACCAAGTTTTTATGAATTTCATTAAAAACGTGGTCTGTTTACATTTTGCTCTTGGGGACAGGTTATTTCCCTTATTTGTTTCAGTAAGTTGCACTGAACAGCCATGTATCAGCATCTGGAGTAAGGCTCTCACAAGTTGCGCTAGATATCGGTTTTGGTATAAGCTAAGTTTTTAATTAAACAAACCGTTTTTCTTGCTTTCTTTACCTTGTTCGTGCGCTTGTAGGAAAACGTCACACCAGTCGGACGTTTCCATTATATAGGTGAATTGGAAATCGATGGATGAATGAATCATTGACGTGCAGACAGATGTGAATCGCTCACATAGGGTACGACCTAATCTGTGTTCTGATATTTTATGCAAACTGTCTTCACACCATCAATGGGAGCAATTACCGAATATGCGGTCTTGTTTGCATGTCCCATTAGGTGTGGTGCCAGGCTAGTACAAACTGCATACCAAAATAAGCGCTCTTTTAGAGGAACCTGGCTGAGGTATCCCGGGTTGAGGCGATATCATTCTAGTACCCAACGTATCATGAGTGACCCCCTAGACATTATAGATTTGCTATCAAATAAACATTTGTAAAGACTGTAAATCAAGCCTCTGACCGGATTGTCTTTGTTGGAATATTTACATTAAAGCAAGTGAAATCCATTTTACTATTGTATAAAAAAGTTGCAGCTGTCGAACTGCTGATAGTTAGAGGAGACTCGTATTTCTATCTAGATGTGGATGAATGCCAAGAAACCGAGAAGCGTTGTAGAGTTGTTGACCCGTATTGTGAATCCTCCGCGCTGTTCTCCACATGAAACTCTAAGAATTTCCGAACCCTCGTCCTCCCGACCTGTTGTTGAACAGTTAACAGTTGCGCTACGGACGTCTGGTCAGCAGTGTGATTAACTCATATTCAGGTAGAGTATGAGTCATTATCTCATTGATCCCGGAATTCACATCGATATTCAATTGCCACCTATGTCCTCTACTAACATCTCAGAAGGAGTGGACACGTAACTCTTGACTTGTTTCTCCTTTTGAGCTGTGTACAACTACCTGCTAAGTTCACTTTCAACTCTCGATGTGCTGTCCTATAGGCTGCGGTCACTAGCCTACATTATAAATGCGGTTGATATTAGGCGCAATAGACGCCGGATAAAAGCGCACTGGCAAACTAATTCAAACCGCCTGATAAGTCATACGATGCTGTTACCTTTTATGGTTGTGAAGATAAAGGGCGATAAACCAGGTATGAAATCGGTTTGGACGCGTCCGACATTATACGGCAAGTTATCTGAAATTGTGCACAAACCCATTTGAATGGTGGCTGATATAAACCGATTGGATATACTTCATTCTTTCAGAAGACAATCGAAGAAGTGTCAGTAATAAACAGAACGACCGAAGAATTTAACACTCACCAAGCTGAGATGGTTAAGCTCTATGACAGCAAAACTATAAAGTAACCGAAACTATTTATTTACTTTGTAAAATGATAGACGGGTAGTGTGAATATATTCGGACCAATGCCTGAAAGCCACTGGCCGTTTCGAAATCAGAAGTAGCATATTCTTTCCGAAAATGTAAATAAAAGGATTGCGAAAAGGGGAAGAGATGTCGACTGAGTCGAAGTAAACAATTCTGTCATTAGGTACTCGGACTGAACGAGCTGAGTTGTTCCACCAACTGGGGGGCAAGACCCAAATTTCTTGATCCATTTATAATCACCTACGGCAGTAAATTACGTATATCTAAAGGTCTCACTCCAAGATGAATGACCGTTATTGGTCCACAGATATGCCTAAAACAACAGATTGGTCTCGTTAACAACTTTGTGGCATACACGTACGCTAAACAGCCCCATTCACGTAGAAAAACATTTCCCAGGCAAACTCGGTTTTGTAGATGGAAGCAAAGGATTTTTCATTTAATTTGCCATGTTTAGTGGGATTTACATCTAGATGTTAGTTTGTAATCTAGGTAGCTGTTCAGTAAAAGTGATAAACGCTTTGTAGCTTATTCAAGCTTTCGAGCGGTTATCATGGTTCCATCTGATTTGTCAATAAATGCATGTAAAGCTACGAATTTCGAAGAAATCGTGTCAGAATCCAATCATTTGCTGGGTTAAATTGTGATTAGTTTATACTTCATTAGGTAGGACTTCACGCCTTGGATATTGCTGGCAACACTTTATTTTTATTTCGAGCGATTATTTGTTGTGCGAAGGTGCTTGTCTTACCTGTGACAGTTTATTCTGTGCACTTTGCGATCTGAGGACCTTGGGCAGAGTCTAGAATCTGAACTACAATCCACGCGATCATTAGCCTGCCATAAGGAGCCTGGGAACATTTTTAAATTTACTGTTTTGCGTCAAGTATAAAAAAGCATCTTACGATAATGATATCTGGGTGTTCATTTATGAGCCTGCTAATCAACGTTTGGTGGCTGATATGAAGTAGAACTAAGAAGTAGTCCTTCAAGGAGTATGAAATCTTATAAATAATGGATTGGACGGTGAGCAACGGTACACTTTAACTGAAAGCTAATTAAAGGGTCGTTAGCTGAGATTTCCACTGCTTTTCTGCGGTAATGGATGGACTCGAATGCATTATTTATAGTTTTTCACACTGAGTTATCTGAACACAGAACATCCCCATAGATAGCCTAAACGACCTTATTTGGGAAAAGGGGGTAAATATCCCCCATTATGAGCGACAAATAACGTACTATCCTAAATTTTGATACAAAGAATTGGCTTTTAGGAACGTGGGGAAAACAGGAATGACAAAATTTCAAAACTACGCTAACTACTTTTATGCACACAGCGCTCTTACTATTTAACTGTCCTCATATTTAATTTGGTGCGGGTACCATAACACTGACCAAAATATTCAGATGGAACAAGGTTAGCTAACCCTAAAAGATATACGCTAATTGTCATATTTGAGTACTAGCCTGTCCTAAAGTAGTTTTGCGTGCCATGCACACTGTGATGGGCATATACATATATGCAGTTTAATGGCTTTTGTTCTCTAAGTTTATAAATTAACACAATTTGCGTAATGGACACATACCCAGATGAAGAAAAAAGGTGGCTGTCACACCAAAACATTATTATGTAACATAGAAAACTATGCTATTTATCCGCAGCACGTTGAATAGCTAATTATACTGCTTTTGGATCCACATGTCAGTAGCCAAGGCAAGTTCACACACGAATAATAAACCTGGCGTTTTGGGAGGTCGTGTGAGAATTACCTTTCATGCAACGTCGTAAAAATATGTAAATGGGCGGCTTAGATAGTTTGAGTGAGTTGTTTGCAATTTGGCGTTCAGTGTTTGAAAGTAGAACATCTATCGTCGTTACAGAATGATACATTCTTATTCATGAGATAAGAAATTTCTTTTGTGGTTGTATTTTTTACTCCACGAAAATTTCCCCTCTTGTTTATTTTGTTCTGTTTGATGTTGTCCTTTCTGCTACGGGTGAAAAAGTGAGGAATGCTTTATTTCGTGTGTACGGGACGGTGGTACAAGTAATCCAAACATAACTTCTTCCTTTCCCGGTATTGTATGTGGTTCTAATAAATGAAACATTTGTTCCACTGTGCTCAGTTTGAGTGTTTTCTTGCTTTAAAATGTTCTAATCTGCTAAATTCAACTGGAATTTTATCCATCAATAGTTTTCTGGCCGACCAAAGGTGTTCTTAGTGTACCCAGCAGCCATATCAGCTTTCCCATCACACACAAGAGCATATGCAATTGGTTAATTTTGTTCACTATTACGAACTCCTTTGAGAAAAAAGCACAGTTCACTTCGTAAGTTCTATGCAAAACACGTCTTCCACAAAAAAATGATCAACACCTTTGATCAAGAAAGCATCTTGAATTTCGATGCAAATATTGAAGAAATGTCAAAATTACTCAGTTGGAGATATAGTTTCTTGTTGGTGAATGGAAACACACTTACGACAATCCTCCCTGGGAATTTCAGCCAATCAAATTCTATCCCTGGGTCAGCCAATCGGAATTATCAGGAAGCGGTGGTCGAGTCTGGCCATGAATTTATACCGCAGTACCACTGATCACCGATTACTTACTGAGAACACACTAACGGACATTTATATTCATTCTGGGTTAATTGTTCAGTTCCAGATCCAATGTGTTAACAAGCTGCTTTGGACATACTTTTTTCGGAATAAATGGCAAGGAAACCATCACCATTTATTCATGGGACAGAGCTTCAACGACAACATTCCATAAAGTCCGACGAGTACTTTCAACCAGAAAAACCGGTCATTCCAAGTTCACAGAGACCAACCGCGATACCTGCAACCCCATGGTTAAAAGGAACTGAACAACCAAGAATTATTGAACGAGTTGTGCTGAACTCACCAAATCTGGAAGGCCGGGTTCAGATTCCCCATGAAGCATTCAGAACTAGAGATCAGCCGACCGCACAACAGCCACGCTATCTCGGCGTTATGGATCACTGTCTCAGTGGTCACTCATCTATTGTCGCAGTTAGTCGAGTTTCTCAGCAACCGTCTTTTGAATCTTATGATTCATCCCTAAGCGCTGCGAGCTGGGCTAGTTCAAACGATCCTGAAGTAACGAACATTTACATGTCTAACGAGAGGAATACGTTCCAAAATACACAAGCGGGATACTTTGAGAACACACGCAATAAGTCTGATGACACAAAACAAGAACGTCTTTCCCAAGTCACTCATGGAAAGACAGGAAAACAACCTGCGCAAGTTTTCGATGCAGCCGAAGCAGGACCCAGCTCCAGAAGCACGGAACAAAGGGAGATGGGAGGATCCTCTCGTAAGGAGACAATCACATCAACTGAGAGCGATTCAAAGAAGTCCAACAGTAATTTGCGGCCGAAGCAAGGGGTGAGTCAATACAGGTTTTCCTAGCAAAGGTTTTAAAGTTGGCAGCTTTGGAGTTGTGAACGTGAAGAATGAATGACTGCTAGGCTTCTTCTGTTTGATGTAGACGTATCCAATGTTAACATGCGTACAAACTATCAATCCCAGTAGTTTCCCCGTTAGTTGAATAATAAACGTAATGAACGTAATCAGATTGCTTGACGATAATGTTATGCAAACTAAACTCCGCGAATTGCTACATGATGATGAGCTAATTGAAGCACTGTAAACCAAGATTTGGCCTACCGGAATGTTAATCTGCATATTAATCTGTATCAGGTACCAGTCAGACATCGTTTATCAGCTGCATCGGTGCTTCTAATGCATCTGGCACAACCTTTGGACCTGAATTCTAACTGAGCTTATGCAGCGCGGCATTTTGTCTATCTGACTGTTTAATAGTATACGCATCCAAACAAAAATTAATATGCTTGATGAATCAGCACAAAACTGCAAGTTGTTGGCGGTGGATGGATACAAGTCGGTTGTTAATAATATCTGAGAACCTATCATGTAAATCCAAATATGATAGAATGGACTCCATTCACCAGTATGTAAAGCTTTTAATTTGGTTCAGTCTAAGTGAGACCTTTTCTGTCGACTGAAATTGACGGCGTTGGATTAGCAGAAACTTTAACACCTTCATAGTAAAAGGGAGGATGGCCGGATAATTCACAAAGTCCTAACCAGCCTCAGAAGGCGAAGCCTCGTTAAGTGACATCAGTGTCTCACCCGACTCAGTTTCAGACATAAGGCAATGAGTCAGTTAGATTTAATTCCAAACTGTAGATTCATTACGCTACATCAGTCGGTCACTGGTAATACCAGTAGTCTCTTGATTTTGCAAATAATGTATATTTAGTTAGGAATTTGCTCACTGTTCTATGGGCCAATTGCGTTAACGTAATAAACTGTTGGATGGATTGCATGTGGTTGAAAGCAGTTTATAAGAACAATTATGTAAACACCACAATTACAAATAGCCTGGAGTTACAGAGTTATAGAATAGCATGGGATTTCAGCTGTGAGGGTGATCAAACTCAACCGACGTATGGTTACTATCCATCCAACAGCTAAGGCATACGAACAAAGAATAATTTAAACAGAGCAATGGTGTTATTTGGTCGGTTGAGCGGTTGCCGCTTTGAGAAAAACTCAGATGTTCTTTCACAAGTATAGGGTATCGACCTATTTTTTACCGCTTTCATATAAACCTGCGATGTTTGGTTAGGGAATCATGAACACCAACAACATGCAGCAATTCACAGTCCAGACCAGACAAAACGTTACTTGTTGCAGACTGTGCAATTGCTGATTTTTTCAACAAACGTCTATGGATAACAACACAAAAATTCCGAAAAGCAGTCAATGTGCCGGTGGCCTCCACGATCGTAGGAACCACCGAAATTTTGAGGTTCACTCAGCGACCAAACTAACCGTTTAAGGGATTTGACGGGAACGTAATGATGGAATGGAATTTAACAATAGATTAAATTTTCGGGTTGAAGAGTGTATCGGATAAAACCAATATGAAGATTAATAGGTAGGCTGTCAGGATGCACGAAAAACTAACTTAAAACAGTTGCAGCTCGTCAATCAGTGTACATTAATATTCTTTGAATAGTTTGTTCTTTCTTCACTAGATGCAGATAACAATCACAGAAGTAATCCACAGAAGCAATTTATCCTTTTGATCTCAGGAACAACGGAAGTTTGTAATGAAAAAACGTATGTCTATCTAACTCGCACAGCACACAATAAGTGAAATACCGACTATTAATAACAAAGCAGTGGGTTGCACAACATGTTAATCTACTGTAGAAATCAGTATGATTGGAATAACCCTGTGAATATTATACCTGAGTTTTCATCAGTAAAATACAGTTTGCCGCTGGACGTCCCAAGGATATTGGCTGTAGGTTACTTTGAAATCAAAGGGACTGCCATAACTGCTGCGGCCATTCTGTAACTCACCCGTTTGAAAGTGGAATCTTTTCGTAATTATCGGCCAACGAAGACCAAATTTGAGCCGGGTCTTTAAGAAATCTAGCGCAGCTGTCCCCTCGATCTCACCAGAAATATTCAGGTGACACGGGATGCCACAAAAAATGAGAAGCCTAAATTATTCGCTCCCATTTTAAAGTGGTCCAAAAATCAGTCCGTTATCTTCCGTCGTTTACTGTCTTGCTTTCCTTTGAGCATTGGAAATCCCAATATCAGTTTATTTATCATTATTAACAATAAAGTAACTTATTTAAATTTCCTGAAAGATAGACACATGCGTAGCGGCTGGCTTTCACATTTCCGCTCATATCTGGCACAGGACAATTGAGGTTATCAAGCATTCCGTCGAAGTGCACGGTTCCCGTTTCAGACTGCGTAAACAAAGAATGAGCCATATTTCTCGAGGTCGGATGATCAGAATAACTGACTTGCTTTAAAACAAGCTAATTAAAACTCAATCTGAAAATGGAGCATCGTTTACGAGTTTCAATTAAGATTTTACCCTGTGAGAGCAGTCTGTCTCTCTTGAAAGACCGAGAAGTACTCTATTGCGGTTTTCTCCTTACTGAAAATCAACTGCACTGCGCAGTTCACAAAAGTCCAGGGGGCTTTAAGCAGTTCACCTATAGGAAATTTTCAAACTGAACTATGGGTCAACAAAATACTCCACTCAACAAATAACTCTGGGATTCATGCGCCTCGCAGTTGGCGTGCGTTTGATCAAACAGACTATTTGAGAAGGTTGTATGCAAAAGTTTTAGTGTTTCCTTTGATTGTTCAGAGAACCGTGATGATTAAGTCATTAATCGGTGAGTTTAATTCAGCCAAACAGTATTTGTTGCTTCATTTTCGAAGGAAACCAAAGGTTTTAAACTTCAGTTTACAAATGCACCTCATTTCTTATCGCCCAACGACTAGAAATATTTAGCTGAGTTTTGTGTAGTCGGTTGTTTGATCTCAAAACTTTCGATCGTATTGTTAATGTTGATCAGAAAGGCAAACCTAACTCATGTTCAGTAGGACTTCCTCCAGGGTACACACAATCAAGCGAGACCAATGTTTTTTTTGAAGAAAGTTCAGCCGTAAAGCTAGTGGTGAAATAATTTCCGCTTCTGTGCTCCCGAAATGAGCAGAGCACAAACAGAGCGCATTTTTCGAATTCTGAAAAGATGCTTTTTGTTTAAATGTTGCTTGGCTGAAGTTCCAACCGTTTTAGCCCCTTCTTGGTGGGTTTGGCTTCTTCCTCGTTAGTCGACTGGTTAAGTGTGTAGAAACACCATGATTTCCTTTTATCGAACAAGTGCGTCAACGTTCATTTCGGGCTAGTTAGTCTCTGAATTGGAGCTAGGATTTAGAGCTATGAATGAATCCCTAAATTTATATCCGACGTTGACCTTGCAGCTACCAACTTGAAGCACATGATTTTCTGCCACGTTTTTTCACGCACGGCGCAGTCTATTTTCAACGTTACTTTGGCTAAACAGAATTATTTTTGTCACCACAGTTGGAAAAGTCGAAAGAAAATAGGAAAAAATTACATGCTGCTTTTTTTCAACATATCCAACTGCCAAGTAATTTCATCGAAGCGGAGCAGAGCGGTATATGACACATTGGCCTTTGCAGTGTGAAACTCAAGATGAAACTCAAGAGAGCACACATTACTCCACAAATTGCTCCAGTTTTAAAGCATGTAGAATTTATTGATCTTACTGTCCAAATTTTGGCCATATCTGAGTGGGACCAAGGTTTTTCACTACATTTATATAAAAACTGGAAACTGATAATGCAAACAAGCCTTGTAAGTAAAAACTGTTTTCAAAAACTGATAAAACAATGTGGCGACTATAGTAGTAGTTAAACGGCCGGTAAATTGACTAGACTCATGCGCATTCCCCTTTACTCTCATGTGAGTAGTTCCCACTTACCCTGAGTGGAGGTTGATCGAGTAGGTATATTTGCGCGACGAAAAAAAGGGTGTGCAAAATCACAATGAAAAACCAGTAATTAGCGTCTCATCTCGTCAGCTGTTTGGCTAGTGCGCACTTGTGTGTCGTGGCAACAGGAATGCACGAATTTCTGGGTTTCAGTTAACTTGTTAACTACACGTTCAGCTGTGCCTTAATTAACTGATCAGCTACCCTTCGTTTAAGAATGCTTTAAGTTTCCCTGCCAAACTTGAGAAGTGGAGTGCCTTCCGAAAGCACAATAATAATACGTTACTGAGAAAGAAAACTTTTCTGTTACCATTCCATTTTGAATGAGTTGCGATTTTTGCTTCAGAAGTTGTTTCAAATGCTCCAATTAGGCGGGCATTTTGACGCCTGTGATCGTTAAATCCAACTTTACGACTCAGAATTGGAAACAGGAAGCAACACGCATTTGTTTGTGAGTAAGAAATGTTACTTATAACGCGGTTGAAATTTGCACTACGGCTGTTGTGCTGAATGTCCCACAAAGGCAGCATGGCCAAACAGCTGATGAGTATAAAACACGACCCATACAACAAATATTCGGCCGGAAAAAAATTATTTCAGCTCAGGTGGGCGGCAGTTTCCTTCAGCAAAACCATAGTTCTGACGTAAGACTGCAATCAGGTGATCAGTGAATTTGATCAGCATTTTTGGTGCTTTTGCGAGACAAATGGGGAAATTGTTTTTTTAGAGAGACAAGACAATATAGGATGGCAAATTGAAGAAAACAAGGAATTGTAAAAGAGACCCATTGTGCCTTTTTTAAAAGTAAGTAATTTAGAGAGAGAAGACATCCAGAACGGAATGGGTGGCTATACTACATTATTCCTACCAAAAAGTACAACGCCCTCATTTGCTAGCTAGCCTTTTGTTTTATCGGATCTCTCTATGTCCTTAGGTGCTTTTAAAACCAACCTATTCAAAGAACTCCCTCAACTTCAGGATTGATTGCTTCGGTTAAGTAATAATGACTGACTGGAATAATAATTA